ACGTGTTGCCGAAGATGCCACTGAGCCTCCGAATAGCTAAGGAAAGAGACCTCACACAGCAGAAACTCGCAAGGAGGAGGAACAACGTGTGCAAATACTGTAGCGGAGCCTCTGGACCTGGGACACTTATTGTTAATCATACTACGCAGAAGGTGTTGGCTAGCAATCCTTTTGGTAGCATACATATTCCCACGTAAAATACACGCGTTCGATACAGTAACAACATTAGCACGTTCACGAATTCCATATGGTCAGGTAATCTATAGTTCGCTTGGTGCAGCAGTAGTTGACGCCTTGTGGGGAATACAGCGCTACAGATACCTTCCCCCTCCCCGAGGCTAAGGCCACAGACGAAGCCAGGGGGAGGGGGAGGAGGAGGAGGGGGAGGAGAGGGAGGGGAGGCCCCGCAGGCCTCCCAGGTCAGGCACAGCGGGAGTGGAGGGGACGGGCACCGGTCAGGAGGGGAAAAAAACACACAGACACAATTCATCGGCGATCCCCAAGAAAATGTGGGAAAATATTGGAATTGGGCGGGAAGACAAAAACCCAGAAAATATGGGAAAATATGGGGAATAGTTTGACTTGTGTGTCTTCATGTGTGTGTCCTGGGGCCCCTTGAACCAGAGGGGAAGGCATCGCCCCCCCGGTCGGCCCTTCGTCGCCCGCAGGGGCTCGAGAGCCCCACCCCGCCCAGGAACGCGGGGATCCACTGCCGCGGGCCTATCGCTGATCTATCGGCGAGGCATCGCCGATGCCAGGTCGGTGTGTCTTTCCCCCGTGACTGGGTTGCGGGTATGAAGCCTATTGGATGTTCGCTGTGATCTCGCGGGAGACCTCTCGGGGGCCTCTTGGAGGCAGTTTTGAAGCCTCTTGGTGGCCATTTGGGGGAGATTCTGGGGTTGCGTTGGGGCCTCTTGGGGGGCCTCTTGGGGGGCCTCTTGGGGGGCCTCTTGGGGGCCTCTTGGGGCGCGCCGCTTGGGGCTTCTGGGGCCTCCTGAGGGCCTGTTTGGCGCTCTTAGACCACCTAGGGGCCCTTTTGGAGGCCTCTTGGGCCGTTTTGGTATGGTATTGGGGGCCTTTTGGGCCGTCTGGGAGCGTCGGAAAGCCGAAAAGGCGAGAACTCCAACGTCTTTCAAAAATGCGACGAAAATCAACTACGCGGGCCACTTGGGACCCTATTGGGAGGCCTCTTGGAGGCCTCTCGAAGCGTCTCGGAGGCCTCATGGATTTTTTTGAGGCCATGTTTGGCGTCTTCGAGCGATCGTTCGGCGACCAGTGGCTCTCTTGGACCGTCTTGGGGGGCGGATCTCACTGTGGGCCCACGAAGCGTGTGAGGCGTGTGCCGAAATTGGTGACGGGGACGCATGTGATCACAACCACCAGGGCCTTCGGTGAAGCCCCCTTTATGGAGCCACGAAGCCTGTGAGGGGTGTGCCGAAATTGGAGCAGTGGCGCCATGCGAGCCCTGCCACTATGGCCTTCGGCGGAGCCCCTATGGAGCCACGAAGCGTGCGAGGGGTGTGCCGACATGGGTGCGGTGGCGCCATGCGAACCCTGCGACTGGATCCTTCGGCGGAGCTCCCTATGGGGCCACGAAGCATGTGAGGGATGTGCCGAAATGGGCGCCACGCGAGCCCTGCCATTGGGGCCTTCGGCGGAGCTCCCTGTGGGGCCACGAAACGTGTAAGGGGTGTACCGACATGGGCGCGGTGACGCCATGCGAACCCCGCAATTGAGGCTTACGGCGGAGCCCTCTATGGGGCCACGAAACGTGTGAGGGGTGTGCCGAGATAGGTGCAGTGACCTGCAAGCGGGGCCTTCGGCGAAGCTTTTTATGGGGCCACGGAACGTGTGAGGGGTGTGCCGAAAGGGGTGCAGTGGTGCCATGCGAAGCTTGCCATTGGGACCTTCGGTGCAGCTCCCCGTGGGGCCACGGAACGTGTAAGGGGTGTGCCGAAATTGTTGAGGGGTCGCATGGATGAGGATGATGGGATGATGATGATGATGATGATGACGATGATGATGATGATGATGATGATGATGATGATGATGATGATGATCATGATGATGATCATGATGATGATGATAAAGATAAAGATAAAGATAAAGATAAAGATAAATATGATAATGATGATGATGGTGGTGGTGGTGGTGATGGTGGTGATGGTGATGATGCTTATGATGGTGGTGGTGGTGATGGCGATGGTGATGATGATGTTGATGAAGATGATAATGATGGTGATGATGAAAATCAGTATGATGCTGATGGTGATGGTGGTGATGGTGATGGCGATGGCGATGGTGGTGTTGATGATGTTGATGATGATGGTGGTGTTGATGCTGCTGGTGATGATGATAATGATGGTGATGATGATGGTGATGCTGATGCTGTTAATGATGATGATGATGATGATGATGATGATGATGATGATGATGATGATGATGATGATGATGATGATGATGATGGAGGAGGGAGGAGGGAGGAGGGAGGAGGGGGAGGGGGAGGAGGAGGAGGAGGAGGAGGAGGAGGAGGATCTGGCAGGATCTGGCAGGCCTGATCACCGCAGTTGCGAGGCACGCACCGCGGCGACGAAAGAGAGGCCGCCCCTCACAAGTCGGTCTTGGGGGCACCACGCATCTGAACCTCACGCCGGGCTGATCCCAACACTGTAGCTGATGCTCCGTCCAGCGGGAGGTTGTGGTTTGGCCACGGCGCCACCGAGCCTGATTGTCGCTCCTTCGATCCCCAGCGTAGTAGCTAGTGACATTGGGCTCCAACTTCGCCTTCCTCTATCGTATGTAGGGTCGGCCGGCACGTCTGGCTAGAATCGGCCTCCAGCTTCGCCACCCGCTTCTCGCACTTCTCGCAGAGTAGGGGCAGCAAGTCGGGCTCCGACTCCGCCTACAGCATTTTACAACTCGTCGGCTAGCTGATGGCATTGGACTCGACCTTCGAGTGCCATGCCCAGGACATCGGGCTCCAACTTCGCCTCTCGCTTCTCGCCGTATGAGTAGGACGTTGGGCTCCATCTTCACCTCCAGCTTTCCAACTCTCGTCGGATGCAGCTGATGGCATCGGGCTTGACCTTCGCCAGCCTTCGCACGTCGGGCTCTCGTCGCGTCGAGTGCAGCTGATGGCGTCGGGCTCGTCCTTCGCCTTCTTCCTGCGTCGCTCGTTGTCCCGCGTTGCCTCCCGCTTTTCGCGCGCTGATCGCACAGCGGCTCCAGGCGGATGGCGTCGGGCTCCAGCTTCGCCTTCCCATTTCTCGCACATTGCCCTCGATCCCAGCATTGTAGCTGAACGCGTCGGGCTCTACCTTCGCCTTCCGCTTCGGCGTCGGTGTTTGGGTCGGGCTCCG